CATTGAAAGGGCAAGATGCAGCTGGATCAATAAATATTTCGACTTAATAATTTTGTAAACCTATTAGTATTTATTCATAATTTTTGTTTATTATTTTAACTTGATTCCCATTTATTTATTAGTTTAGCTGCTTCAGTGAACATATGCCTCTATTGTATGACACTATAGGCCCTTCTTTAGATCTTGATTGCTTGACAGATTGTGTTGGGAGGCTTGATCAGCCCATGGCTTTTGAATTTGACATATATTACTTAGAACAGGGTTCTGCGATCTGAAGCTCTTGAGCCACAAGTGGCTGGTGGACCTTCAACAACTTTGGCAAAAAAAAATATAAAGACTCAACTAACAGTTTTAAATATAAAGTAGATATAACAAAAATAGGTTTAAAGTGGAAATGGAAAACTCAACAACACTCATTTATTATTCCCGAAAAGTCCAAGTGTCTCCCTGAGCATGCATGGGTTCTCTCTGGGTACTCTTGTTTCCTTCCACAGTCCAAAAGCATGAATATTAGTTTTATTGGCTTCTCTAAATTCTCCTTAGGTTTAAGTGTGTGTGTGAATGGTTGTTTGTCCTGTTTGTCTCTGTGTTGCCCTGCGATGGACTGTCCAGGGTGGACCCTGCCTCTCACCTGTAGACAGCTGGAGAAAGGCACCAGCGCCTGGTTGTCTGTGCTGGATGTCCACTCGCTCCAAGTCTCCACTCAGGGGTCTTTGAGGGTAAAATGGTAAATTTAGTTTGGTCGAATGTTTCTTTTCCACTTTAAACGGGTTTTTAATGGAAGAATTGCAATGAATTTGATGAAGAATGAAACTAAAGTTACCTTTAATATATGAATTTTTCAGATTTTCAAAGTAATCTTAAAGAAACTTGTAACTTTCAGAAACCACCTGATGTAGTGATGAGTATAATTACCTGCTACTAATTCTACACCACCTGCAGAGAACTTCTGCATAACAATGCCACAAAAAAATAAGGACAGTTATTTTGAATATTACTTCTTATTTAAAAACAAACCAAGAAGAAAACAGGAGTCTTTATTCTCCTCAAACGTTCTCTATGTAATAGAAAGATAAGTTGGAATCTATTAACACAAAGAAACTTGCAGGTTTTACCGCCGTATGCTCTGTTGCTTAGCAACTGTAAACGTTGACACACAAAGCAGGAAAAGAAT